TTTTAAAATGCTAATAATAACACGAACCAGGGGCTGGAGTGATAAGCAAGCGGGGAGGGTGTTTGGTTTGCCTTGCGCACGGCTGGCCCAGGTTCAATCCCCAGCATCCCATATGGTGCCCTGGGCACCACCAGGAGTAATTCCTGAGTGCAGAGCCAGGAGTAACCCCCCGAGCATTGCCAGGTGTGGCTCCAAAGCCACTAAAAACTAATAGCAATAATAAAATCACCCCTGGTTATTGGCTATTTATAAGCCAGGCCAGGCTGAGTGCCCTGTGTACTACATGGACACTGCTAGCCCCCATTTTGTTTAGGGGGTCAGGGGCCTGACCCATTGAGTGATAAAGTCAGTGATTCTCAAAGGGCAGTCTCCGAATGGGTGGCATGAGCTGAGAAGAGGGGACCAGTTAGAAATGTAGGTTCTGGGGCTAGAGCGATAGCACAGCAGGTAGGGCGTTTGCCTTGTACGCAGCTGACCCGGGTTCAATTTCCAGCATCCCATATGGTCCTGGAAATTACAACCAGGAGTAATTTCTGAGTGCAGAGCCAAGGTAACTCCTGTGCATTGCCGGGTGGGACCCAAAAAAGAAAAATCAAAAAAATAAAAAGAAAGAAATGCAGGTTCTCAGCCCCCCCGCCCCTCCCCGCCGCCAATCCACCACCACCCCCAGTCAAAAACTCCAGTAATCTGTGACTCATCGAAGCTAGGGAATTCTGTCACTCACTCAAGTCAGGACAAGCAGACAATCAGATTCTTCCTCCCCCACGTTCCATGGAGCGGGCTTTGTGCCTCCGCTCTGGCTTGGGAGACGATGTGAGCTGGTGAGCTGGTGTGGGGGTACTCGGAGACAGACTGCTTTCCTGATACAAGCCAAGAGGCGTAGCCCTGCTTGCCAGAAAACACAGCATTCCAACCCCACCCTGCCCACCCTTCACGTTCTCCCTCCACAGCCAACTTTCCTTGCACAGGCCCTGGGTGCACTAGCGGTTTCGGAGGTTACGCCCCCACCTGCCCCTGCTCCAACACACTGAGGAGGGAACAGGTCTTTTTCAGCCTCATCCCCACCCAATCCCCAGGCCAGACGGTGCCAGGCACACCTGCATTTAGGGGTGAGTGAGGGGGTCTCTCCCTCCCTCTCGGTGCTGCTCAGGGAAAGGTTGGCGAGATCTGCAGCCGCCTCCGTGAGGCGCACGAAGCCAGAGCCTCTCGGGGTCTCCTAGGTGAGAAAGCCCACGGAGGTCGCCCTGGCAGTCCCACACACTCCTGACTCACGGCCTCCATCATTTCATCTCTGCAACCACCCCCCTGGCTTACACGGGAGGAAGCACGAAGCAGTTCACCCATTTGAACAAGACCACATCACTGTCGAGAGACTTTCCTGGTCTGAAACTGCCTCCCTGCTGCTTCCATCCGACTCATCTTTCAGGTCCCAAGTGCCGTGTTTCCTGATCGCACGAGCATCTGCGACAAGCCCAGGCCCTGTCTAGGGATTAAGAGGTTATTTGTCTCCTGCCTTCTGAGCTGACTGTTAAAATCCCCACGGCTGGGCATCAGATCTCACTGTCTGTGTATGGGGGTGCTGGGGGATCACCTCATTGATCAGGACTGGACAGGGCGTGGCCACACACAAGGTAAGGGCCCCACCCACTGTGCTATCTCATTTTACATGTTTTTTTTTATTTTATTTTATTTTTTTGCTTTTTGCATCACACCAGCAATGCTCAGGGGTTACTCCTGGCTCTGTGATCAGGAATTACTCCTGGCAGTGCTTGGGGGACCATATGGGATGCCAGGGATCGAACCCGGGTCAGCCGTGTGCAAGGCCAACGCCCTACCCACTGTGCTATCGCTCAGGCCCCACATTTCACATGTTTTATACTCCCCTCCCTCAGGCAACAATTTTCTGATGAACTGGAGGTCACTGACTAACTGAACAGTAAGCCTCAGACCCACACTACAATTTAAACTTAAAATAGAACTGTCAAGGGGCTGGAGCAATAGTACAGCAGGGAGGGCATTTGTTTTGTGTGTGATGATGGAAATTGGATCCCAGCATCCCATATGGTCCTCCAAGCATCACCAGGAGTGGTTCCTGAGCACAGAGCCAGGATTTAGTCCTGAGCACCTCTGGGAACAGCCCCCAAACAAAACAAAACAAAAAAATCAATGACAAAGGAACAGTCAAGAGTCCAATCAGCAGTGGAGGGGCGGGAGGGTGGGGTGGTAAGAATACTGTATGGTCACAGCCCATAGGGACAGTAGCAGCAGGACAGTGGGTAGGGCACTTGCCTTGCATGCAGTCAACATGGGTTTGGTCCCTAGTATTCTGTGTGGTCTCCCAAGCACCACGAGGAGTAATCCCTGAACAGCGCTGGGTATGGTCCAACCCCCACACACACAAAAAAGGAAGAAAATAAAAGAGAAACCACAGTAAACAAGCACAAAGATCACGTCAAAATACATGAAATCAAGGGGAAAAAAATCTTACTGGAGAACCCCAATGCAGACACTTAACCTCTCTGTCCTTGGGCCCTCTCAGCTAAGAGTCAGGGGCCAGCCAATGGATTTGTTAAACAGGAAGAACTTACAGATCTAAGAGTTCGGGTCAATGAGGCTCCCAGAGGGCACAAACCTGCCTGTCAGGGCCTCGATGACAAGAAGGCGGGAAGGGCACGGGCACCTGGCCTGGCCGCCTCCAGACCCTCAATGCCAGACACTCACACTGGGTGACCTCACGGGGCCCTGGAGTGGGGAAAGACGCCAGCAGCTCTTTGGTGTCAATTACGACGCAGACAGGGCTCAGAAGGGACAGCCTGGAATGAGGTCTCAAGAGGACAGTCCTCTGCAGCTGCCCAGACAGGGCTGGAGAGAAGCCAGCCGAGAGGAGAGGGGAAGGCAGAGGCCACCACCAGCAAGAGCAGCTGCAAAAGGGAAGATCAGGTGGGGGGGGGGCAGCTGGGTGGGGGTGCTAGGCTGGGCTGGGTTGGGTTGCACTCCGATGGGCTGGGTGGTGCTAGGGTGGGCTGGGCTAGGCTGGGCTGGGTTGAACAAGCAGCCTAAGGAAAGTGTCAGTCTCCTCTGGCCCCCACGAAGCCAGTCACCCCCGCAGGGAGCCCGGCCTGAGCTCCCCCACAGCCCCTGGGCCTCTCGTCCCACAGTGCCACATTCAGGCCCACTTTCCCTCTGCAGGATGGGATTCCCCGGGAAATTCCCGGGATTCCCCGGGAAGAGCAGAACATGGTGACAGTGAACGACGGAACACGACCCGTCCCTGAGATGAAATCAATGACTTGCTGCTGCGTGGACAGAACCGTGGGGTCAGACAGGGCGGGGATGCAGAGACGGGACCTCTCTTGTGCGTGGGGTGTGCCGAAGCTCAGGGAGCTCCAGGACTGATCTCCAGAACTCAGGTCATATGGTGGGAGACTGGGGTGGCGTGTGGAGGTTGTGTGTGGTGGGGGACCGGTACAGATCTGAAGTAACTGGAGGGAAGTTGCTCTGGTGGAGGGTGTGATATTGGAAGACTAGATGCACTCCCCATTATTTTTTTTTTCTTTTTTGGGTCACACCCGGCATTGCACAGGGGTTACTCCTGGCTCATGCCTCAGGAATCACTCCTGGCAGTGCTGGGGGGACCATATGGGATGCTGGAAATTGAACCCAGGTCGGTCACGTGCAAGGCAAATGTCCTACCCACTGCACTATCGCTCCAGCCCCAGAGACCCATTATTGATGGTATTATGGATCGTGGTGACTGACATAAAAAGGTGTTTTTTTTTTTTTTAAAGAAAGGGCGAAACAATAACACACTGTCACACTTCTGGCTATGCTAAGCCTGGAGTTGGGGGGCTCAACAACCCAGTGCTCAGGCTTGGTGGAGCTCAGGGGCCACCCAGGCTACAGCATGTGGGGGTACATGCCATGCTGGGGATCAGACTCAGGCAAGGTCTGCTGGGCCCACACCCCGACCTTCCTCTGTCCCCTGGAGCTGGCAAAGAAAGAAGAGGGCTTGACTGGAAAATTCTTTCCGTCCTACAAAGAGAAGCGCCTCAAAGAAACTAGAAATAAAACGGCAGAGGCCATGGCCAGCAAGAACAGCTGCAAAAGGCAAAAGGGGAGGATTGGCCGTCTGTTCAAAACCTGGGAAATCTCTCTCTCTTTTTTTTTTTTTTTTTTTTTTTTTTGCTTATTGGGTCACACCTGGCGATGCTCAGGGGTTACTCCTGGTTCTGCACTCAGGAATTACTCCTGGCGGTGCTCAGGGGACCCTATGGGACGCTGGGAATCGAACCCGGGTTGGCCGCAGGCAAGGCAAATGCCCTATCCACTGTGCTATCACTCCAGCCCCCAAGGAGATCTCTTTTAATCCGGGAATTGTCTTTAAAATCTGGGAATTTGTGGCGTTCATGCCCAATTCAATCAGCCTAATCAATGGCTGAATAAATAGCAATACTCCTACATTGTAACACTGTAGCACTGTCCTCCCTTTGCTACAGCATCAATTTGCTCCAGCAGGCCCAGTAATGTCTCCATTGTGAGACTTGTTGTTACTTGTTGTTACTGTGTTTGGCAGATAGAGTATGTCACAGGGAGCTTGCCAGGCTTTGCCGTGCAGGCGAGATACTCTCGGTAGCTTGCCGGGCTCTCCGAGAGGGGCGGAGGAATCGAACCTGAGTCGGCCGGGCCAGCCTCTCACAAGGCAAACGCGCCCTACCGCTGTAAAATAAATAAATAAATAAATAAATAAACAAACAAACAAATAAATAAATAAAATCTGGGATTTCTTTAAACCTGGGAGCTCTCGTTTGCATCTGGGGAGACGGGGAGGTGCGAATGGAGAGTCTCTGAGATGAAACTCTGCAATAAGCCCACAGCGCCCATCAGCTTTCCTCCCGGTTGGCCACAGTGGCTGGCCAGGAGATGCTGTGCCCGTCCCTGCCGGCTGACGCCTTCCGGCATTGCCCCTTCCCGCCCCCCCCCCCCCAACCACCCTCACTCACTCTCACACAGCCGCGCCAGAGCTGGTTGGCTCGGGGGTGGACGACCCGGCCACCCGGGCCCGTTTGCTGAGCTCTTCTCCAGGGGGCTCCTCGGCTGCTTCCAGCTTACGTTTGGGGGATGCAGGGCCTCCAGGCACTGCTCTCGGGCCTGTAGAGAAGCAGGTCAGGGGGTCACCTGCCCCGCATGCAGCACCAAGATGACCTGTAAGTGCCACGCCAGGGTGCTGAGGGGGGGTCCTGAGTTACGCCCCGGAGGGGTCTAGAGAGCAGGGCCAGACTTGCGCTAGCCCTCCCACCCTCCAGTCCTACCCCAGGGGGCTCCAGCCCAGGGGAGCTCCGGCCTGGCTGTGGTCCAGGATCTGAGGACAGACGGTTCCCTCTGGGGTGCCCGCCAGCGTCTGGAGATAGATCCGAGTGGAGTGCATAAGTGTGGAGCTGGCCAGTCAGGCGGGTGGGCAAGTAGAATGCCCGAGCTGCTGCCAGACTTGCCCGGTGTTCCCTGTGCCTATATTCTTGCGTGCAGCCTCTCTGGATGCCTGTGTTCACTCTCATCCACCCGCCCCTCAAGTATGCAGGATAAGCTTCCAAATAACCCAAGGCCAGACCCTCCCTTTCAATACACTTCCCTGGGGGGGTGAACCCCAGAGGCCCCACCTGGGCTCGGCTCCTCCCCACCTCTGGGCCTCTCCTGACTGTGCCCCCAGTGCTGGGAAAGGCGGTCCCGGCTCAGTGAGGCGTTACTGACCACCCCAAGCCAAGGAACCTGAAAAAACTTCCCCAGCACGTTGCTTCCAGATCTTTACTCTGTCCTGCCCAGGGCTGCTGCCTGATGCCTAGGTGGCTCCGTGTTCCCATGAGGTTCTGTGACGCCCCCACCACCCCCAGGGTGGAGAGCTGTGGCACCCGGGGAGGCACCACACAAGACATCAACTGCTTCTCACCTGCACTGCTGCTGGCCTGGCTGCCGCTGGGCTCTGCCATGGGGTTGCTGAGCTCTTCCACGCAGGATGGAACGGAGGCCAGCAGACCTGGGAGACAGACAGAGGGACTCATGGCATTGGGCAGGTACTGGACCGCGGAGGGGGCATCGCTTCCTGCAGGCCCGGAGCCCCAGAGCGGCCGTCTCACTCATGCGGTCCTGCAGAGCCAGGGCTACACATTGGCCCTCAGGGCAGCCAGGGGCAGTACCTGGGCAGGCTTCCCCACTTCCCCGGAGGCCCTGGGGGTGGTGGTGGGGAATGGGACGGGGGGATGGTGCTTACAGAGTCCCCTGTAGCGGGAGAGCTGCTGGTAGATCTGCTTCATACGCTCAATGTTGAGCCGGCTGGTCTCAGCGTGGTTGACCATGGGTCGGGGGTAGTCCACCCCGACTATGCACTTGGCTGCCTTCTGCACCGCCTCGGGTGCGTTCCAGGGCTCATAGATGTAGCGGGAGGGAAAGCCTTTCAATTTGGGCAGATACCGCCTGCAATAAGGGGATCGGCCATCAGCACCCCCGGGTGGGTGGAGACCTCTTTCCAGGGCCTGGGGGTAGGAGGTAGCCCCCAGGGGTGGTCAGAAGCCAGAGTAAGGGGCCGTCTGCGCCCTCCCTGGAGGCAGTCCCTGCTGGGGTCTGTCGCTGCCCTCACGACTGCAGTCCCCGCTGGGGTCCATCCGTGCCCTCCCCGGATGCAGTCCCCCTGGGGTTCGTGCACGCCCTCCCCGGATATAGTCCCCACTGGGGTCCTTCCGCTCCCTGCTGGGATGCAGTCCCCACTGGGTTCCGTCTGTGCCCTCACCTGATGCAGTCCCCGCTGGGGTCTGTACCTGCCCTCCCCAGCTGCAGTCCCTGCTGGGATCCCTCCGCGCCCTCCCGGATGCAAGTCCCCTCTGGGGTCCATCCGCGCGCTCACCTGATGTAGTCCCCGCTGGGGTCCGTGCGGCGGCCGAAGCCCACTGGGCAGTAGCAGTGGAAGAACTGCTGGAAGAAAGCGCTGCAGGACAGCCACATCCAGCTGCCCGCGTTCACGCTGAAGTCGGCGTCCAGGAGCAGCTCGTCAAACACCTGCGGCGGGGATGAGGGACCTTGAGCAGGGGCGGGGTGGGGGGTCCCACTTGGTGCCCGGTTCCCACCTCTGCGCCTCTGCCCGCCCGCCCGGCGTGCACCCTGGGGCCCCCCGAGGGGTGCGCACTCACCCGGACCCCGCTCTCCCAGCTGACCCAGAGGTCCCCGCGGGTGAGGAAGCAGGCCACGGCGTGCCGGGCCAGGTGGTGGATCCAGCCCTCCTGCCGCAGCTGCGTCATGATGGCATCGATCCAAGGGAAGCCCGTCTTGCCCTCGGCCCACTTGGCCAGCGCCTCGGGGTTGCGGTCCCAGGGGATCTGGATGCAGATGGGGTTCCCCTCCATGCGGTCGAACCTGGGGTTGTTGGTGGCTGCCGTGTAGAAGAACTCCCGCCACAGGAGCTGGCCGAACAGCGAGAGCGGCGGGGTGCTGCTCCGCTTCACCTGCGGGGGCGGGGGTGGGGGTGGGGGGGTGTCTGAGCCACAGCATCCGGGAAAGGCTGGTTGCCCGGCAAGTCCCTCCCGTGGTGGGGGTGACACATCGCGACCAGGCCTGTGGCGGGGGAACGAGAGCCGGCAGGTGAGAAGCCCAGGCCTGGCGGGCGCACTGCGGCAGGGTCCTGCGGGCAGCTGGCCCCCTGGCTCCACTTTCCCCTGAAGCTCTCCAGGCAGCATGGGGGCAGAGAGGTTGGAACCCACCTCTCCACCGACTGGGTTATTTACAGCCTCGGCCTGCGGGCTCCTACCCCGGCGTGGCCAGATTGAAGGGCACTGTTCGAGAACCGCCAAGGGCCTTTCCCCCAAAAGCAACACCCAGCGCCAGGCCCAGCTCACTGCTTTGAGAGTCCCGAGCGGTCAGCGGGCTGTGAAGCCAGGGGCAGTGGAGAGATCAGGTGTTAGCGAATCAGGGTTTTCCCCGAATCTCCAGAAACCTACTAAATCCTGCCCCCCAAAGCAAGAGGTGGCCGCAGGACAGCATCAACATGGATGTGCTGTGTGTAGGCAGCAAGCGGCCGAGTGGCCCCTCCTGGGTGCGGGGAGTCTCGCAGGCATGAGCAGAGTGTGGCCAGCAGCCAGTCCGGGGGTGCTGTCCCCTTTCCAGCTTCCCTACCCAGCAAGGCCGCTGTGCACTCCTGCTCGGCTCAGGCCTGGTCCCCACCCCTGGTCCTCACCCCAGTCCTCCCGCTCAGCCAGCAGCTGGCACCTCCTGGGTGGCCCCGTGCCCTCCTCTCTTCCTCCCTTCCTCTCCCTTTCTCCCTTCTCCTTCCTTCTTTCCTTCCTTCCTTCTTTTCTTCCTTCCATCTTTCCTTCCACCATTCCTACCTTCCTTTTCTTTCCTTTCTTCCATCCTTTTCTTTCCTTCCTTCCATCCTTCCTTCTTTCCTTCCTCCCTTCTTTCCTTTCTCTTTTCTTCCTTCCTTTCTTCATTCCTTCCTTCCTTCTTCCTTCCTCCCTTCTTTTTTCTCCTCCCTCCCTCCCTCCCTGCCTCCCTCCCTTCCTTCCTTCCTTCCTTCCTTCCTCCCTCCCTTCTTTACTTTTCTTCTTCCTTCCTTCCTTCCTTCCTTCCTTCCTTCCTTCCTTCCTTCCTTCCCTCCTTCCCTCCTTCCCTCCTCCCTCCCTCCCTCCCTCCCTCCCTCCTTCCCTTCCTTTCTTTCTTTTTCATTTGGTTTATGGGCCATGCCCTGCGCTGATCGGGGCTTACTCCTGTCTCAACCATCAGGGATCACACCTGGCAGTTCATGCAGGGGACCACATGGGGTGCCAGGGATCAAACCCAGATTGGTTGCATGCAAGGCAACCGCCCTACTGACTGTCCTATCGCTCCAGCCCCTGGATTGCTTTTCTGCCCTCCCCAATAACCTGGCACTGGATTCAGACCCACAATCTGGGGGTGTCCTCAGCACCTCCATCTCCCAGATGTTGGCTTCCCGGCAGCCTCTCTGGACGGGGCCCACCTCCAGACATCTCAGGATCTGCAGCCTTGTCCCCAGTGCCCGGCTCAGTCAGATGGAAAAGCCCCTTCTTACAGCGACTCACTGGCCCAGGTGCAGTCTACTCGGCATCGACCTGGGATGGGGGTGCTGCCCCCTCTCCAGCCTCACCTTCTTGTACAGGTCCCACAGGGAGTAGTAGAAGAGGCGGCAGGAGAGGCAGCCGAAGCGCAGGTAGGGGCTGAGGCCCGTGGGGCTGGCCAGCAGGGAGTTGGCGTTCATCCGGGGCCTCTCGTAGTTGGCGACCCAGGCCTGTGGCGGTGGGAACAAGGGACAGAGGAGAGGCCTGGGTGTCAGTGAAGGGAGATGCCAAGGCTGGCGGGCAGGGCTCGGCCAAGGCCACAGAACAAGCCCGGAAGCCAGGACTAAGGACCGCGCTTGGCAGCGCAAAAGGGGAGCCCAAAGGTCCTCTCCTGAGCCGGACCCCCAGGTGCTCTGACCCCTCTGCCCCTTATCTGGTAGAGGAGAAACCACCTACCTTCCGCAAACTGGGGCAAACATTCAGCAGACAGTTGGGACCACAGACTCTCATCCGATCCCCCACTCCCACCCCGCCTTCTGTCTTTAGGTCACATCTGGCAGTTCTGGGGATGAACCCCCCCCACCCAGTTATAGTACAGCAGGTAGGGCCAAGCTGGGTCTGAACCCAGCAGCCCCTACGGTCCCGGAGCCCCACCAGGACAAATTCCTGAGTGCAGAGTCAGGAGTAAGTCCTGGGCATTGCCAGGTGTGGCACTCAAACAAAATAAAACAGAAACTAAAAGTGGGCTGGGAGGGGCCGAGTGGGTAGAGAGTTTGTTTTGCACATGGCTGACCTGGGCTCGATCCCCGGGCCCTATATGTGCCCTGAGCCCCTCCAGGAGTGACCCCTGATGCAGAATTGGGTACGTTCCCCAACCCCCACAACCCCCCCCAAAAAAAACACACGTGGAGATCTTAGTCTCTACTGGGTAGGCAGGTTGGTTTTCCTGTTGTTGGTTTTGTTTGGGGGCCACAACTGGCGGTGCTCAGCGCTTACTCCTGGCTCTGCACTCAGGGGTCACACCTGGTGGTGCTTGGGGGAACATATGGGATGCTGGGGATGGAACCGGGTTCTGCTGCATGCAAGGCAAATGCCTCCCAGCTGTACTATGGCTCCAGCCTCCGGGAGGGAGGCTGCAAAGGTGCAGCCAGTGATGCCCGCTCGTCCCACATGACAGCTGAAGTGACTGACCCCTGTCACCAGCAGGCAGTTTCCATCCTCCGTGATGTGAAAACGACCGGTCCTGGCCCCTTTACCCTGCCCCACCCCCAGACCCACGATACGAGTACAGGGGCCTACCTTCCGTTCCAAGTGCTTGTCCAGACGGGCCAATGCCTCTGTCTCTCCTCCTTGCCAGACGGCAGGGCCAAGGCCTTCGGTGGGGAAGCCTGCGATGGGAGAAGCTGGTCACAGCCAGGCACCCCACACTGCCATCCTTCCGAGCACAGTGCCTGGAGTAACCGGGGCCCAGCTGATGCCTGACATCTGCACATCTTCAGGATCAAACGCTGACATCTGCATATCGTCAGGATCACCCGAGCTCTCTCGTGCCCAGCTGGGATGGACTTTCCCCTCCCGTTCAGCCTGGACTTCTTATGGCTACGGTTTCCAGGTGAGAAAGGCCCACTCTGATGGCTCCATGGTTTGGAAGCCCAACTCATGTGCCGGGGAGAAGGCAGTTGGGATGGAGAAGGGACCACTAAGTCAATGATGGTTGGCGGGATCACTCCAGAAATATGTGCTAAAGTCGATAAAGGACCTAATACAATGGCCTCTCAGCATCTGTACTGCAAACAAAAATGCCCAAAGAGAGAGTAAAAAGGAAGGTGCCTGCCACAGAGGCAGGGGGTGGGATGGGGTGGGGCTGGCGGGAGGGATATTGGGGACACTGATGGTGGAAAATGCGCACTGGTGAAGGGATGGGTGTTCGATCACTGTATGACTGAAAATCATGAAAGCTTTGTAACTATTTTCTGGTGATTCAGTTAAAAAAAATTTTTTTTAGAAATACTAAAAAAATTTTTTTAATTAAAAAAAAATAGAGAAAGGCCCACTCTGTTCCGACAAAAGACCCAGAAGGATGCAGGTCCCTCCCGGGGTCAGGGGAGATGGGGTAGTACAGGTGGGGAGCGGGGAAGCAGAGAAAGGGGGCACCCCATAACCAGAGCGGGTGACAAAAGCAGCAGGGGCTGGTGCTCAGCTCCTGGTGCTAAGAAGCCCGCTGATGCCAGCACCAGACAGTGCCCACACACGCAGAGGGAAAGCACAAAAATAGAGGCGCGAAGCAGGAGAGAATTCCTCCGGCAGCTGGCCCAGATGCCAAACTGGGGAGCACAGCACACGCGGCTGGCGGCGGGCCCTGTCCCTGCTAGTTCTGGGGCAGAGACCCAGGGGGGCGCGGAGGGGGTTCACGCACCCAGCCCCTCTAGGGACGGCACGCCGTAGGTCTCGTCGTGGTTCTCCTGGATCTCCGCACGGCAGCTCTCCATCTGCTGGCGGCTCACTGAGCCCACGGGCTTCCTGGGCAGCTCCATGCGGCCGATGATGGCCTGGAAGCGCTTGTAGGTGAGCGGCGGCTTCTGCCCGTTCAGCTCGATGATCCTGGGAAGCCAGAAGTGTGGTCAGCAGCCCTCACGCTCTCAGGCCCCCTCTCCTCCGCCCAGGGGAAGGACACACCTCCATCCTTCCGAGAGAGAAAACGATGCCCAGCGAGCGGGTGCAGATGCCTTGCGGGCTGGCACGGGGCAGCGCCAGGGATAAACCTAGACCCTGGCTTCCCTGGAGCTGCCCGAAGGCACCACGAGGCACCTGGGCCTGTCTGCTGGGTCTCAGGACGCCCTGCGGACCCCCGTTCGATCCCAAGACAAGCCTCGCCTAAGGAGATGCAACCAAGCTCCTCTCTGGGAAACACACCAACCCTTGGGGTCCCTGTTTACTAGAAAGAACTGAAAAATAAATAAATATATATATATATATATATATATTTAAAAGGGTTGGAGCGATAGCATAGCAGGTAGGGCATTTGCCTTGCACGCGGTCAACCCAGCTTCGATTCTCAGCATCCTATATGGTCCCCCGAGCACCACCAGGAGTAATTCCTGAGTGCACAGCCAGGAGTGACAACCCCTGTGCATCGCCGATGTGACCCAAAAAGCAAAAGAAAAAAAAAAGAGTTGGGGGCAAGAAATGGTGGACACGTGAAAGCCCAAGAGGGGTGGGAGAGGGGCGCAGGAGTAATTGGAGGGAGCAAAAGCTGGAGGGGGGTAGGAGAGGGGTGAGCAGGTTAGCAGCAGACTGTGAGGCCTAGTAAGCCTCTGGGGCTGGAGAGAAAGTACAAGGTGCTTGTTTTGTTCACAGCTGACCCAGGTTCCATCTCTAGGATCCCATGTGGTCCCCTGAGCCCCACCAGGAAAGATCCCTGAGTGCAGTCAGGAGTAACCCTGAGCATCTTAAGGTGTGGCCCCCTGTAGCACTGTAGCACTGTCCTCCTGTTGTTCATCAATTTGCTCCAGTGGGCCCAGTAACATTGTGAGACTTGTTACTGTGTTCGGCATATCGAATACGTCACGGGTAGCTTGCCAGGCTTTGCCATGCGGGCGAGATACTCTCAGTAGCTTCCCGGGCTCTCTGAGAGGGGTGGAGGAATCGAACCTGGGTCACCCAGGTCCGCTGAGTGCAAGGCAAATGCCCTACCCACTGGGCTATCGCTCCAGCCCCTTAAGGTGTGGTCCCCAAACCAAACAAAATAAACAGAAAAGCCTCTTTTACTGTCAAATCCGGCGACTGATTAAGAAGTCCCCCAACTCTGACCCATTCCACTCTCTTCCAGCACGAGGAAACGCCACACCCCATGTGCCAGCTCCATAGGGTTCCCCTCCTCCCCGATGTCATCAGGTGGCCCTGGGGCCTCATGTCCCACCTGTCCAGGTCATAGAGCGTGTGCGAGTTCTCGGTCACCACCTCCACGCCAGCCTCCTTGGCCATCTTCATGATGGCTGCATCCCGCTCCTTCCCAAAGGGCTCAGAGTCATACTCGAAGGTCAAGCGGGTCACCCCCCATTCCTGCGGGGAGAGAACGTGAGCTGGTGCATTCCAGGGCCGAGCTGGAAGGGAGCAGTGGGTCGAAGAGGGCCTGATGGGTGACAGGGCCCAGAGCGACAGCACAGCAGGGAGGGTGCTTGTCTCGCACTGGCTGACCAGGTTTGATGCCCGATATCCCATATGGTCTCCCGAGCCCCGCCTGGAGTGATTCCTGAGCGCAGAGCCAGGAGTAACCCCTGAGCATCACCAGGTGTGGCCCCCTCCCCCAAAGAAGGGCTGCATTGCAGACCCTCCAGTGGTGGGCAGGGGAAAGGGACGGTTTGAAATTCAGAGGTAGGAGGAGGTGGGAAAGCGAGGTGAGGACCAGAGGAGCCTCCCAGTGGTGGACGAGGCAGGAACCTCTGAGTGCTCCCATGAGCCTGCTGTGGCCCTGTGCCAAGAGTGGGTGGCGGGCAGCGGGGGACCTACGATCCAGCACTCAGGGGTGTCGCAGTCCCACAGAGAAGCTCCGACCCTTGGAGGAGCAGGTCTGCCACTTCCTGCGGCTCGGCCAGAGCCCCCAGGGTTCTGCAGGCTTTTGCCCAGCTCTCCATGGCACTGGGAAGTGGCCAGGCGGTTTTGAGGGCAACACAGAGGCCAGCAGCAAACAGAGCTGATAGGCCGGCTACAGCCCTCCAGAACCGGGGAAGGAGGAGCAATGGTTATGCCGGGGGTGAGAGAGATCAGAGAGAGGCCGTGGGGCCAAAAAGAAGAGGATCCTTTCCCAAATCTAGCGGCTTCTGGTGGACATTTGGAGACTGCCCAGGGCTGCTGGGAGGAGCGGGGACCCCATGGAAGGTTGCACCGTGGAAGCCATGGGGCATGCCGTGAGCACGAGAAAAACCATATTCCAGCTGGTCTCTGCTTATGGCTCCTTCATCCTGAGTCCCTGGGGGTCCACGGCCTGGCCACACACATGATGGACTGGTCCTCACTCTGCCCTGCTTGGGGCTCTCGGCAGGGCTGGTCACTTCTTGCCCAAGAGCCATCCCACTCATCACTATCAAGCCAACCACAGAGCTTAGCTGCCAAACAGATGACAGGGACAAATGCTCACTTGCATGGGGCAATCTAAAGATGTTGGTATAAGACCTCCTCCAAGAAGTCTTCCTTGACTTTTTCCTTCAGTGAAGAGTCTCCTGCAACCGGCCTTTTTCCATCCCAGCATGTATCATCTGGCAACGAAGCTGATGTTCTGATGCCCCCTCCATCCCCACCCCCTGCGGGTTTCCGCAGCAGGGAGCAGAAACTGTTTTCTCTGCTCACCCTTCCCCTTGGGACTTAGCTTGGGGTCCCGTACAGAACAGCAGCTCAGTCAACACACGTGTCGAATGACTGAATGATGGAACTGTCCAAGAGCAGGGAGAGGAGGACACTGCAGAGGCCGAGGCGGGGGGTGACACATCTCCATGCTCAGGAGTCAAGGACCCAGCAATGGTGTCGGAGCTGCTGGGCTGGACCCAGACCAGCCTAGCCACTTCACGAGTAAGCCCTGAGCACTGCGGGGCGTGGGTCCTGTGCCCAGAAGCTGGTAAGAAGAGCAGAGCAAGACAGGAAACCTCACCCTTGAATTCTTGGCAAGCGGGGGGAAAAAAAACGTAATAAATAGGGCAACGATGAGCCAAGGAGACGTCTCAGGAAGCCAGCGGCTGCGCCCAGGGAGACTGGGCCAAGGGGTGAGCAGAGGCAGGTTTTTCCATAGGCCCCGGCCCCCTGCCTGGCTTGGCCGCTGCTCCTGACTTGCTGGGTCACAGCGGCCTGTCTCTGATGGTCACATCCTGCGAGCTGCAGGGGACCCCGGCGGGGCAACCTCACAGCCTGCTAGGCTCAGCACACTGACCTTGAACAGCCTGGGGAACACGTCGGCTGGCTGGCCCCGGACCACAAACAGGCGGGAGTTCAGTTTCCTTAGGCTGGTGTCCAGGTCCTCCAGCGACTGCAGCAGGAACCTGCGGAGCACAGGGCCTGGTGAGAAGCCAGGCGGCAGCAGCTGGCCTGGGCCTGCTGGGGCAGAGGCAGCAGCGGCAGCAGCAGCAACAGCACCACGCCAGAGTGCCAGGGTGCAAGGGCCTGAGTCCCCCTCAGCTGCATGGGTACCAGGAGTCAGCACCCCCCCGCCCCCCCCCCCCCCCCCCCCCCGCTCAGAGAAAATCCAGACTTCGCCACTCATGAGCACCAACTATAATTTTAGGCTCACGATCGAACCCCATTAGCTGTGTGGTTATTTGTTTGTTGGTTTTCTCTCAGTGCCTGCAGTGGACAACTGACATCAGGACCTACCGACCTGAGTTGCTAAAACGTAATAAATAGGGTGAGGTAATAAATAGGAGAATGAAGTGATACGTGGAAACATTTGGAACGCTCAGTGCCTGGCACCGAGAGAACCTGGGGTGAACAAGGGCTGCTCCTGGTCTCAGCCTCAGGCCTGGGTGCCAATTCCCACCCATCACAGGGACTTGGGGGGGTGGGAGGGATTCAATGGGAGAACGGATTCCAGGTCGGAAGTAAAGCAAGTGCAGCCCCGTGGCCTGGGATCTGAGAGCCACTGAGGAAACAGAGTTCAGTGGCTCTGGAAAATCCTCCCTCCCGGGGGGGCCCCCCAGGGCCCTGCCTGTCTGCATCCGTGCTTTGGCTCAGGCACAGACCCCCACCATCACACCCCGTCCAGCCAGGGCTGGGTTGCCAGGTCTCAGATTTCTTTGACAGGTGGGTGCGCCTTCTCACCAAGCCCTGGCCATCAGGCTCTCAATCCCAGAGAGAGGTGCTTCATGAGCTAACTTTTCAGACTGTGTAAGGCGGGAGAGGGCGAGAGTCAAATAAAGGGACAGAGAAAACACTGCAGGGCCAGAGAGATGGCACAGGGGTGAAGGTGCAGGCCTGGCAATGCAGCCAACCCTGGCTGCTCCTCCCCGTACCACACATGGAACTAGGGCCACTCATGAGCACTGAATCAGGAGTAGCACCTGAGCACCACTGTGTATGCCCCTACCCCCGATTAAAAAAAAAAAAAGACAGGGCTGGAGCGATAGCACAGAGGGTAGGGCGTTTGCCTTGCACGCAGCCAACCTGGGTTTGATCCCCAGCATCCCATTTGGTCCCCCCAAGCACCGCCAAGAGTAATTCCTGAGTGCAGAGCCAGGAGTAACCCCTGTGCATCACCAGGTGTGACCCAAAAAGAAAAAAAAAAAAAGACAAAGAGAAAGAAATGAATATTGCAGAGAGCTTTTAGTACTTTATTTCTAAATGAAATAAAGTCATAGTCAACTCACAGAAGACTAATTCATGGGGTTTAAAAATCAAGGTGCAGAGCAAGTCATTTCCCAAGATCCCCAAAGAATTTTAATCCCCTCCCCAGACGCAGCCAACGTCATCGGTGTTACTCTGCACCCGCTTACGATATTCAAGTGCAGTTTTTGGGTAACTCAACACGTGTCTACGGGCAGCCGAGATAGGAAGACACTCAACAGCCCGGTTACTCTGTGCCCCGTTTGGTTTTTTCTTTGGTTCTGTGTGGGGACTATGGTCACCGGTGGTTGGGAGTCTCAGTGCTGGGGGATCTTGGGGGGCAGGGGACGGAACCCAGGGCTCCTGCTGCAGACTGCCACCCGCTACTCTGGGCAGAGCTGTCGTCAGGTGCCTACACCTAGAGACACCCCTTCTCCCAACACCCTTTGGGGACAGGGACAGAGCCACCAAGATGCATCTCCCGCCCCTCTCTGGCAACAACGGGGTGGGGGTGGGGGAGCCCCGGAAACCCCGAACCTCTGGCAGCCCACAGCCTTCCCTGATTACCAGAGGCTTCAAAGAGCTCTCCTCTCTCTTTTTAAATTTTTTTTTATTTTATAAGGTAGTTCACGATATTTGATTACATTTAATATTCCAACACCAATCCCACCACCATTACTCCTTCCCACCACCATATTTGGGATGTTTCCATCCCAAGTCCCAAAATCCCTGTCCCGAAGCACAACCGAAATAATGTATTTTGTATTGTTTGTTATAGAAACTGCTGAAAATGCTACAAAAAAAGTATCCATAAAGGAAACAGTGTGAAGACTGTTCTGTTTTGGCAGGGGCCATTAAGGCCTTCTTTAGGATATCACAAACACGTTGTTAAAGGTTGAGTGATGTGAATTTTTGTATATATATCTAAAAAAAAATATATGTGTATATATCCCCCTCTATGATTGGTTGCCTACTATTTGAACCCCATCAAATGTGGTGTGGTGCTCTTGGAAAATGGGTAGGGATTATCTTATGATGTGTTGCCCAGCCGCATCTGCGTGGTCAAGGAATAGGTTCACTCGTGCACGAGGCTTGTCGCGAGTGTGTGGAGAGTGGCCTTGAGCATGGCGGCAGTTGGGTTGTGGAGGTTTCTGGCTGCCGGGGCTTGGTCCCTTGGGGCGGGGAGGGCTCTCACACCCACCCCCCCGAAAGAGCTGTTCTCAACTGCCAACTGGAACCTGTGCCCCATTCAGCTGCCTCTGCCATTCCCCCATAGGCAACCACGTTCCTGAGGGTGGCCACTTCCACATGCAGCTGGGTGCACCCCAAAGCCCCTGCCTCAGTGAATTCGGCTGCTGAGAACTATTGAGGCCCCGCAGAGGAAAGCTGGGGACCTCCCAGGCTCTCAGTGCCTCTCCAGAGGAAACTTCCAGAGCCAGGCGCACAGGTTCCTGCAACCTGAGGCCTGGGCCCTGCCAGGTAGGTGTCAGAGGGAGCCGTGCCCACCTCCAGCCCCCTGGACCGGGATCCTCCATCTGCAGCTCCCAGGCACGTCCTACCATGCCCGTTGTGGGCTGCAACAGGCCTTAGGGAAGCTAATAAATCAGGCAGCAGAGAGGCGGGTTCTAAGGCCCTGGTCTAAGTCACGGACTGAAGAAGGGGCAGGTTCTCTGGCATCTCCGAGCTCCTTTCTGGGGTTGGTGGGGCTGAGGAGCACAGCCGGGGCCTCGGGTAGGCAGAGCGTGCTCTGGCCCCCTAGTCAAAGCTGCTTAGATGCCGGGAAGCAGGGAGGGAAGGTCCACTCCCAGCTCGGACCCTGTGGGGGACAGTGACAACAAATGACACTGAGCCAGACACTCTCTGTGTCCCAGGGACACCACCTCAGTGGATTCTCAAGTCGGCCTATGAAGCACATGCATCATGACTGCCACTGGACAGATGAGGGAAGGGGCACCAGGAGAAGTCCATCACTTGCCCAGTTTGCACCCCTCCGGAGTTGCCAGAATTCACACCAGGCAGCCCGGCTCCCATCGTATTGGGGGGCGGGGGGTTAAGGCCACATCCGGCAGTGACAGGGGCTGAGGCTGGGGATTCTGCATGCGAACCACGTGCCCCAGTCCTCTGAGCCATTTCCTCACCCTCACCCCCCACCCCCACCCCTCGCCTTCATAGTGCTTTTCTTGTGGGGGCACCTCCCAAGCTGTCCTCAGGGGCCTACCCGGGGCTGTTCCTAGAGCGACGAGGCCCAACTGGCCGGGGTTTCAGGGCCAGGGTCAGAGGATGCAACACTTCTCAGGCCCCGAGGTCCTGGGTACCACCTGGGCCACCCCAGCTGTGCTCAGGGGCCTTGAGGGCTACATCTGGTCACCCCTGAGAGTCTTGAGGGGTGGGAGGTGGGACCTGAGCCCCAGTCAGGCACACGTGGCTCACCTGTATTTCCCTACCTGCCCACCTCATTGCCTCTCAGCATGTCTCAGGGCCAACCGCTCAACAACCAGACTCAGAGAGTTCAGCGGGCGGGAGCTTTGTAGGCAGAATTCCCAGGGTTGATCTCTGATACCCCATCATCAACTCCCTCCTCCCCGCCCCCATCATGCTAGGAGCAATCCCTGAGCCTACAGCTGAGTAACCTCCTGTCTCCCAGCATCATAGGGTGTGTGGCCCAAAACCAGGAGGAAAAGAAAAAACAACTACAATAGGGGCCAGAGAGATAGTACAATGAGTAGGGTACTTGCCGGCACACGACCAACCTGGGATCGGTATCTGATATCTGGTATCCCAGATGAGCCCCTGAGCACCACCAAGAGTAATCTCTGAGTGCAGACAGAACTAGGAGTAAGCTCTGAGCATCGCTGGGTGTGGCCCCCAAACCAACCAACTAACCAAACAAGCGGCCAACTGTTCCCTCTGCTACCAGGTCCCTGCTCCTCAGAGGCAGGTCTGGGACTCAGCTCTGGGATATCAGAAAGCTGTTGTCGGGCAGAGCATCAGGCACCAGCCTGTGCACACGAGTGGCTGCGGGCTCCTTGGCTCGGTCCAATTCCAGAAATGCTTCTCTAAAAAATGAAACTTCCCTCCAGGCTTGTTCCCGAGAGGCCCTTCCTCAACTCAACTCTTCTCTTCCAGCTCACAGCACTAGCCCCCAATATGGCCTCGACAAATGACAAACACACCAGCTTCTTCCACCTTTTGTCAAACACTGCGGGGGGGTCGCTGGTGTCACCGTGCTGTCACCCCAGCCTCCACCCAGCAGCCCCAGGGAGAGAAGCACAGGCCAGGGCGTGCCAGGTAACAGTTTCAAGAACCCCAAAGGGGAGCCTGAGTTGGAAGATTCTGCGCTGAGGGGCTCGTGTGTGCTGATAATCCAAGGAAGGCAGAGGACCGGAAGGCCTTTTCTGGGTGCAGATGTCAACCCTGATCAAGTTTCTTCCCTTAAAGCCAAAGATGATCTAATCATAATGCCCTGGACCGGCTGTACCAACTATTAATGGAAATTAATTTATCCTAAGTAATGAAGAGTGCTCAGTACAGCGGAGGGCATCAGCCTTGCATGCGGCCAACCCAGCTTTGATCCCTGGCACCCCCTAGGGTCCCCTGAGCCCTCCAGGAATGATCCCCAAGTGCAGAGCCAGGAATCAGTCCTGAGTATTGCCGGGTGTGGCCCAATAAATACATACAGACCGACCGACAAAACCCTCGAAGGAACATGGAAGCGACAGTGCTG